GCTGAATCCTGAGGCCGCTGCCTGCAGATCCACCCCAGGGTTCCCTCCAGCCCCACCAATTCCTAGGGCACACATTATCTGACAGGTGGGGACACACCTGCTGGGAGTAGGGACGGGCACCATGCACTTGCTCAAGGCCACACTCAGGTATGGGGTCCCCTGGTTCCCCCCAGACAACCCCCAGGACACAGGCTGCACACGCACACATACACGACAGACTCATAGCTGCATGCACACACGGCTCCTCAGCCTAGGCCTGGGAACCTTCCACAGGACCCTTGCCCTGTGAGGAGCCTGTGCCCAATGTGGGGCGCCCCAGCTCCTGCCAGCCTCGTTACAGCCTCATGCTGGCCCTCAGCCGAGGCCGTCTGGGGTGGGGCCCCTGGGATCACTTACGTGGGGTACCCAAACCTGACAGCCAGGTCACCATTGGCCAAGGCGGTCACTACAGCCATGGGCATCTTCATGTCATCCTTAGAGGCCAGGAAGCCTTGGTTGTCAGAGGCTACCCCGACCACATACCAGGTGCCCTGGAACTGCAGGGCAGTGCAGGGCCTGAGCTGCCACGTCCTGCCCAGACCCAGCGGCTGTCCAGGCTGGGCACCACACTGGCAGTCTGCAGCTGCGTCCACCCTGACTTGTTCGGGGTGAGATGCAGCTGCCGCCCACCCTGCTTCCAGCCTGGTATGGCGAGCCCAGCAGAAGGCTGTGCCCTGTGGCCCACCCCCAGCTGGATGGGGCAGTGTGTCTGGGTCTTGTCCTGGGTCCCTGGCACACCTGGCTGGCATCGAAGTTGGCCTGGATGGGCACCTGGGCAGAGCCCGGCAGCACCCTGAGAATGGCGAGGAGGAAGCCGATCAATGCAGCTCGCAGCATCGTGGAGGGCACCTGGCCACTGCTGCGGGAGAGCTGGGGTGGCTTCCCCTGGGTGGCCTTTATGTCCCCAAGATGCCCTGGGGCAGCTGGCTGGCTGGCCTCAGACACAGCCCGCTGAGATAGCTCCCTATCGAGTTTTGCCCCGAAGCTCCCTGGGCCTGCCTCCTCTCATCCCTGCCAAGCCCCTGCAAACCCTCTGGGGAGGAAGCCGGGTACCCAGCAGCCTCCTCCCACCCCAAGCACCTTCTCTTACCCAGCCCCCAGCCTTCAGCACAGGCCCAGGTCCTGGACCTCCTCCTCCAGGAAGGCCATCAAGCAGCTCAACCTCACCTCTAAGCTCTAAACTTTCAGTCCCCTGCAGGGCCCAGCCTGGATCTGCCCAGTGGGGAGCCCGGAAACCTGGTGGGAGCAGGAGGCCAGGCGAGGGGCTGGCTTTGTGCCCTGGAGGCCCAGGCAGAGGCAGGGGGCAGTGCTGGGGGGGGGGCAGGGCGGGATGAGGGGCAGCCCTCCCTAGCTGGCTAAAGGGGTGGGGGGTGGGGGGGACCTGGATACTACAGCGACTTCCACACAAATGACTTCCACACAAATGCTTCCGTTGTCCCTGGCCCTTATCTGCCACCCCCACCCCTGCAACACCCCTGATCCAAAGCTCCCTCCAGCCTCAGGCTTTCCTGCTGGGGGGGAGTGTACTGCTTGAGGGATTACGGGGCTTGGCCTGGAAGGCCTGGCTGCCTGGGTGGCAGCCCTGTGGGGGTAGCAGTAGGCACTCCCGGCTGTGGCCTACAGACTTCAGGATGGGGCCCTGCAGGACAGACGGGCAGCAGCCAGCTGGGACTTGCTTCAGGAGTTTATTGCAGGGCCAGGGGTAGGGCAGGGCCGCAGAGGCCTCTGTGGGAAGCGGGCTGGCATCAGGACAGCAGCACGGAGGACCAGAACATGGCTGGTCACCTGCGGAGAGTGGACCATTGAGGGGCCTCCCTCCTGGGACACAATAAGCCCCCTGGAACCTGGCCCCCAGGTCTCAGCCCGTGGCACGGGCAGACCTCAACCTCCCCTCTGTCCTCCAAGGCCCTCTTGCCCCTGGGAGCCCCATGCCCTGTCCCCCCTCACACCTGCACAGGGGTCTGCGTGTCCCCACCCCGGCTGGCAACCCTGGGAGGTGGGCACAGGACAGGCCCCAGGGCCACCCCTCGCGGCGCTCGCGGCGGGTGCAGACCTGGGCTGGCTACCCACCGGCCGCCCCACTCACCTACTCTTGCTGCTTCATGCACTTGTCTGCCAAGAGAGAGGCCCAGGGCAGTGGTCAGCACCCCGCCTGGGCCAGCTCCCCACTGCCCCCGAAACTAAGCAAACTCCATCATGCCCATCGCCTCCCACCCCTCCCCCACGTCCCTTTGAGGCCAGTCCTCAAAACAGAGGCCAGGCTGAAACCGGGTTGGTGGCAGCCCCCCCTCCCCATGCCTGGGGCTGGCCTGGCCCTGGCAGCAGGCCGGCACTCCTAGTGAAGGGGACTGCAGGTAGAGGGGCAGGTGGGGACAGGCATCAGTCAGAGACCATGAGGCTGGGCCGACCTTAATCCCCGCCCAGCAGATTAGCCCCCCTCACCAGTTTGGGGCAGGAAGACAATGGAATCTTCTGTGAAGCCCTGGGACTTGCAAAATGCGCTGAATTTCTCCTGTAACTCTGCTTTCAGCGGGGCCAGTGCTCGGCCTGGGGCAGGAGGGAGAGGAAGAGCGCTGGCCTCGGGGGTGCTCCACCCCGCCCGTTCCCCCACCCCCCGCCGGCGGTCAGCACGCACTGTAGAGGGCCGCCATGCGGAACTCCTGGCCCGGGCCCTTGGCGCCCTGGGTGAACAGCAGGGCGTACTCCTCGTAGTTGGTCTCTACCACGGACACGGAGTAGGTGCTGCCCCAGTCTGGGAACCAGAGAGCCCAGCTCAGAACAGCCCTTTGGCAGGCAGTCGGCCTCCTACTGCACGGCCCTAACCTCTGGTCCCCCAGCTTCGCGGTCTGGGCGGTGAGCCAAGGCCAGGCGGATGAAGGGGCACCACGTGAGAGGGCTTGGGGAGCCCCACCGGGAGAGCTCAGCAGGGTTGGGGGGTGCCTGGCAGGCGGATGGGCTCCAGAGCAGATCCAAGCAGCAGAGAAAGGGACCCTCTGCCCCCACAGAAGGGGCGAATCCCGCCCAGGCCTGCTGGACGGCCCTGAGCCCACCCTACACGGTGCAGGGCCCGGTGCGCCCAGGTCATCGGCTGCAAGTCCGCCAGGGACGCCGGGCAGCGCACTCACGGGGGCTCCTGTAGCTGTAGGAGCCGGGGGTCCCCGCGCGCCGCAGCAGCATGGTCCGGGTCTCACACTGGTTCTTCCTGTGGGCAGGGCACCGACGGGGTCAGGGGTCAGGCCCAGGACACTGGGGTGCCCAGCCGCCTGCCCGCCGGCGCACCTGAGGAATGTGGAGGTGAGGTTAAGGTCGCTGTCCTCGGTCGGGACTACCATGGTCTTGCACGTGGACAGCACCGCCTTCTTCTCCAGGAACCAGCTCGCGTTGGACGCGAGGCCCACGCTGAACCAGCGCCCCAGGAACTGCGGGAGGGGTCCCGCGGTCGGCTGCGACCCTAGGACCCTGCGGGGCTGAGCCGGTAGGCACCCCTGCCCCTCCCACTCCTCGCCAGCCCCGTCCCTCCGCC